CAATTTCGAATATTCCAGGCCTCATGGGTATTGCAGTGACAGATGGTGGAACCGTGTTCTTGTCCTCCAGCAAAGAACACGCACTGTTCAGTTTGAAGGAAGAAGAGATGCTTGAGGGTAAAGAAACCCTAACAAAAGTGTGTGGAGAAACTGCAGGCCATCGTGATGGTGTCCAAAGTCGATGGAACAAGCCTACTGCTTTATGCGTATATCGAAACACTGTTTTCGTATGCGATACCGGTAACGTAGCAATAAGAATGTTGACGTCAGCAAAGGGACTGATCCCCCTGCAAAGTAAGATGGCCCAATATGCAAACGTGTTCCGACTCGACAAGAAAGCCAAAGAAGAAGACCTACCACGTACATTTGAAGATCATGTGAAATCTGTCGAGGAGTTGATTGCATTTCTCTCTAACCACGAACAGGAAGCCCTGGAGAGGACGGGCAAGCGAAATACCAACGGTCCCGACATGACCATACCTCGATGCACCCGACAGTCCTTCCTCATAGTGCTAGAATCGCTGACCAGCCTTACCAACACGCTAACGGAGATTGGGCATAGTCACCTTCTGGACAGGATCTGTTTCGAAAGTATGACAACTTTGGGCGTGGAATGCTATTTCAAAGGAATGCGAGCAGACCACGACATGCCTACAGTAGCTAACTACGCTTACAGAAGAGCGCGCTGCGAGGAAGACGATATGCTGCGCATTTACCAGAAGAATTTCTCATATTTCACTGGGCCCAATTCATATTATCCGGAGAAAATTATCAAAGGTGAACCCCCAAACATCAAGACGCGACCAAACAAGCTGTCAGCAATCACTGGAGGAACAGGTAGCAAAGAAGAAGACACAAGGCGAGAAACTGTGATGCGAGAATTTGCTAAGGAGTATGGAAGAGGCGTAAGACAGGAAAATGTCCGCTCAAAAACGAAAGAGCTAACTGGCACCCTTTCTTATGCCCTTAGTATGTGTCCCACTACCATCACAGCCTCATTAGAGGAAAGGGAAGACGTAACAACAGCCTGCCAAGTTGTGGATGCTAATGTGGCATTGCGGAGTACGGCTGTACGGGTGCAAACCATTTACCAGAAAGACGACATATTGGCAGTAAGACACAACCGTAGAAGAGAGATCTCACCCTTCTGGCTAGCAGTTCTTCTGGAGGATGTACAAATAGAAGTGAATGGTGGAAATTTTGTGCAGCAAAGAGTATCCCTAAAGTGGCTAAACCAAACAAGTGATTCACTAACATACACCTCCGGTGATGTCTGTAATGGGAATTCCCCCAAGTGCATTCTAACCCGAGTACTCGACTTTTCTTCCGATGGATCAGACATCATTTTAACAACAGAGGAGGATAACAGGCTCTGTCGAATTGCTAATGGGGACTACGGTGACGATGATGACAATGAGAATGAAACTGCACCACCAACTGCAGAGGATGAGGGAGAAGTATCCCTCCGATAAGACTGCCGGGAGTTAGTTTATCAGGACGGAGAACGACACGGTTTATTCTAAGATAAACGTTTCCGTTGCCTGCGTAGCTTGTAGTATAGTAATTGGACTATCTTCACGCTATTTGTTGGTAAGCTGTAACTGAAGTTTTACATTTCTGTGTGGCAATTAAACAATTCGGAGACGAATGGAAATGTGTACCTCTTTTGTTATTGTTGACGCCGTTGTTATTATTAAAATAAGAATAGCCCTTCCTCGTTAGTATTTCTTCAACGATGTGGACTCAGTGGACTTCAGAAACCGCTCCTATATTCATAATCCTCTCGGGTAAGGCCAAGAATTATATTTTATACTTATATTTTATATAAGACAATGTACACTTCGGGTAAAAAAAGAACAAGCTTTTTTGCTGAAAACAAAGTACAAAGGAAACGTTGAAAACCAGAAAATAGAATTTTGAAATCTGGAATCCAGCCACTTATGGAATCCGGAATCCACGGATGTGGAATCCGGAATCCACAGGCATGGAATCCGGAATCCACAGCGTGGAATCCGGAATCCAAGACTCTCTTGGATTACCTTACATGGGGCGATTTTTTTACCCTGCATATCACATAGGACCAGATTTTTCTTACTGAAAAGTCCCGTCATTATGGAATTCTCTTCATGAAAACGTTTTATAATGTGGTCAATGCTATAATTTGTTGTGCAAAGGAAGCGCGTGCTTTGATCGTCCTGGATATTGAATGAGTGCCATTTGTCTTGCAAAATTGTGAAAAACTGCAGAATTATAGGTTTAAATAGGGCAAAAAAGAATAAAATTCTTGTCCGAGGTCTCTATGATAAAATAGGCTGTCATAGTACTGCGTTTACCTGAGACGTGATGAGAAAAAGTATGTTTAAAAGGCTGGTTTACACCCCACCAGTTTCGACGCCAAGATTTCCTTGTAAAGTAAACTTGTCGAACACAAAAAATCCGGCCTGATCTTTTATTTTGGCCTCCCTTTTAGACAGAGGAATACAACGTGTAAATTGGCTGCCACCAAGGACTATCGTGGCGCGTGTGTTTCGTAAAATTATATTTCGGGGTAATTCACTCTTGGACTGTCAAATTATTTTTCTCTAAAATCACGTAGCCTTTGCCTCAAAAGTCATATGAATGTACATGTGCCCTGATCTGTGGATTACAAGTTTATTGTTTGATTTAAATTATGAATTTTTTAACGGGAGCCTCGCTTTTAGCCCTGGCTAAATCTATATATTATTTTTTGTCCCGAAATCGAGTGGACCGCTTTTTTTAGGGAGACTGTCTCTTAATACTCAGAATTAAGGATGCTGAAAGGAATATGTGCAACTGATTACCTCATGATCCTTAGGATCACCAACCTATTTCCATTTGGATGGCGATTCGCAGCGATTTCTGAGAAAGAAATACAAATACCGTTAATTGGGAACAGAAATAAACACAACTAAGGAAATGAGTGAAAATGTGGTTCTATACTGTTTGGCTAACTCCATAAATGTGGCGGCAAAATTTAAATTTCCTCAATTAGCCATAAAATTGCGACAATTTAATGAAGTTATGAAGGGGTTTCATTGAAAAGCACCTCTCAAAATATAGATTGAATTTATGAAATCAGTAAAGTCGACTTCCTGCAAAACATAGAGAAATGCTAACACCGCCGCCATTTTCCCGGAACGCGTTTCCATTTGTCGTCAGAAACAACTGAAGCAAATGATTAAGACTGGCTATACAGTGACTTTTTATATTTTACGTAGGAAAATAAGTTGTTTCCTCAACTAAGTATTATTAACTTAAAAAAGCTATCAAGTGTTGTTTATTTTGCTGAAAAGGGTACATAATTGTACATAATAATAAAAAAAATTCAGGAAGATGGAATCGCGCACCATTTATTTGGCAGATGCAGTTTTTATACCATTATTCAACTGATGTTTATGTGGTTGTCTTTAATTCGTTCCAGAAACAGCTTCCTGGTCACTCAATAAACGTTTAGACGTCCGGATATACAGTATTAAGGTAATCAACTTATTATGTATATAAAGTCTTTCACCTCGCCACGAAAAATCAAGTCAAATGAGGTTTTTTAAAGACTGTTCCAGAAAAAAATTAAGGAATTAATGCGAATTCAGTCTTTGTCGGCAAGAGAGGATGAATATTCCCATACATATCTGACTGGATTTATGAAAACATGGCTTCAGTGAGTGTCTAAAGGTCCTATGCTAAGTGCGTCCTTAGTACCAAGACTTTGACCCTCCCCACCCAGGACAGTGGGTGACTATCTGCACCTCCCACTGAGCTCTGCAATTATCATGATAATCATTCTCAGCAGAGGCCTGATTCAGCTGGCTAGAGCAAATTAAGACCAACGTACTCGCAAGTCAAAGCCTGCACTGAACACGTCTGCTTACTGAAGGGGTTGTGTCAAAACAGCCCCCTCCCTACCCCACTAGTTTTGACCCCAAGGCCTGATCCACCCACCCACTGTTAGGGCAGTCCCTGGGCTATCCAGCTGTACCGAGCAAGACGTCAACCCCCCGACATTTTTGGGCACCGAGCTGGCCCTGGAGCCGGGCTGCGCCCGGCGCCAGGTGAAAACCCAGTGGCCACGTTTTTAGGAAATCAGACAGATATACATGGGCCTGTTCCAACCGACTTGTCCCTATTATTTGTACGCGGTCGCGTATCGGCGGTCGTGGAAAACTTGCCTGGCATCCAGGCTTAGGGAAAGACTGGAAGGAGAAAAGGGCAAAAGAAGGGACGTCGTCTCCCCTTTCTACTCCTCCCACCTTACTCCGCGCGCATCTCCAACGCGCCGGCTCCCATCGTCAATAGTGAGTTTACCCAACAGGACGGCAGAAAGAAGAGGACGGCAAAACGCTTGTGGAAGGCCTATTATTTATGTCTTTTTTGGTGATCTTCACTTAAGTTAATGTTTTCTAGTCTTTTACAAAACGACCTGATTAAAGAAGGGTGAAGTTCGGCGGAAAAGTTTTCCAAACAAAATTATTGTCACGCTTGTCACACTAGGTTCGCCGTTTTCTTTCCTCTCCCGTCCTGTTGGCTAAGCTCACTAATAGCGGAGCTCTCGCGCACTCAAAGTGCGCGCCAGCGGAGCACCATGGGTAAGTAAATCTACCTATCCCAGAACCGCATCACAGGGAAACTAATGTTTCCTCTTCCACTTTCTAGCTAGTTTGGAAGCCCAGGAGAAATCTGATTGCTGATCGATGTTGTGATCAATTGACAGCTGTCAAAACAGTGTATCGGCTGACCAGTATCACCTGACCGTATCACGGGCTCAGGCGTCGACCCATCGAGTTCTAGTATTTTTGAAGTTATCCGCTGACAAGTTACTAGTTTTTAAATGATCGCAAGCTCAAGTTTATTTTTTGGAAAAAATTCATTTGTAATATATTGTGTTTATGTCACTATGGCACCGAACTATTAAGATCTTGATTTCAAACTAACTTCGGACGCCAGTTATTTAAAAATACAGGCAGGAAATACTTTTTCTTTCCATGGTCAGGCGTTGGTCGCGCTCTGTGTCCAATTTTTATGCTCTGATTGGTCAAAATGTGACAGGTGAGTTCATGCGGAAAATTTATGCAGCATCTTGAAACTTGTTTACTTTGACAGCTGAAGCTGACAGAGTTTGTGTCGACTTGTGATGTTTTTAACTGTCTTTTCCACTGGACGTACAAAATGAAATACAGCTGCTATCAAGAGTCTTCTGTTATTCATAGCTGGTTTGTTTATTGGGTTTTTCTTTGAGAAATGCATCGCTTATGAAAGTCGGAAATCCGATTTTGGATGGCATCGTTTTCGTTTTTCACCTTGCTTGATCCGACTATTAAAGAGGGTGCAAAACTCTCAAGCGATTCTGGCCTTACTTGATAGCTTTCAGGGGCTGCATCTCGAATGGTGAGCCTGAGTTATATATAAATTTCATGAAGTCAAGCGCAGTTTATGCGGCTGGTTTATGCACGTTTTTAAGATTTGAGACAATGATCTGACCGAGTATCAGGTTTGATTTAAAATTACAGAAATTTATAAAGCCTTTAGATATATTTTCTCACCGTAAATAGAAAGAAAACGTTCCGAGGAATATTTAGTTATAATTTGGCCGAAGAAAGAAAGCTTTGAGCGAATTTCTTGCCTCGAGTTCATTTTTGAAAAGAGCAAGCATCGGGAAGCCGGCTTAGAACATAAACTTTTGACTCAGGATTTTTAGGCACTTTTATAATGCTTGTCTTCGTGAATGAAAATTGTTGTCTCTGTAAAGATCTGTAAATTTTTCACCGATTGTGATTAGTAGTCTCTCTTGCAATTTTAATCGCTGTTCCGTTTGTTTTCAGTCGTTCATGAACATAGTTGGCAAGAGTACTCAAAATGCGAGCGTATTAAACGATCTTTAAGATTACACGTCGTTATAGAACCACTAAATAAAAAGTAAACATAATAAATTCGTGACTATGTTGAAGCGTAACTCTAATAATGTTCATTTAAACACTCCTACACAGCTCCCACTGCAAATTTGGCGCTTGTCAAAGTGAGAACCGGCTGGCCGTATAGGTGATTTTGGATTTTTTTTAAACGGTCTGGCGAAAGGCCCACGATTGATCATCCTGAATATTGAATGAGTGCAATTTGTCTTGAAAAATTGTGAAATACTGCATCCTAGGTTTGTATGATAAATACAGCGTCTCATAGTACTGTTTCACCTTAGGTGTGATGCACTGAAAAGTATAAGACGGAGTCCCCGATTGGTGCGGCTTAGGGGAAGTAGATTGATGCCTGTCAATCAACTTTCAGTCTATATTGCTTAGTCCGTTTTCGTTTGTATGCAACTGCGGGAAAGAATTATTCTGAATTCAGAAATGGCGGACGTAAGAGCGATTTTTAACTCTACTGTCGAAACAAGTCTTTTGGAATTGCTGGGAGTGTCGCGTGTATTACGCAATGAGAAAGTCAACGCGATTTCTACACTGGCATCAAGACAAGAATTACTCGCAGTGCTAACCCCACTTTTACCTCAGGCCAAAATGCTGCTTGTTCCAATAGGTTTTTTTTTTCGATTATACTCTGGAGGGTTCAATGTTTTGACAAAGCAAATGTGATTTTAGCCATTTGTTTCACACTGAGAGGTCATGACACGCTTATTGATTTCTTGTGGTTTCTGAATTTCTGGTCGGCATGATTTGCCCTCTGATGCAAGAGCATTTTCTTTGACCTCTTTCGAAGCGTAAAGCTCTTTCTTGTGGCTCAACAAGTAAGGCTTTTAGGTCCTTTATTTTTGTCCAAAGTGCCTCAGGATCTGAATAACTAATCGATTTTCTTCTAGTCCCTGAATGTGTTCCTGCAATGTTGTATCACGCTGGGTCCAGCTCGTTAGTGTTGTTGCAAAAGCATTTTCTTTGACCTCTTTTGAGGTCAAAGGCTTTTAGGTTTTTTAATTTTCTCCAAAAGAGAAAATGAGAGAGACTTTCTTGATTTGCCTTTAGTAGCCGACGTGGAACCTTCGATCGAGGGTGACTTAGCTGCTCGCGAATTGACGCGGATGGATTTTGATTTTCTCCATGCTGGTCTGGCTTTGTCCAACGTGTAATGAGTATGCTTGCTGCTCTTAACCGGGGTACTTGCCGTGGATGTAATTACAGCTTTGATGAACTGGTAAAACTGGCCCAAGTTATGAATGTTCCGGCCACATTGGGTTACAGACCCGATCAGAATATTGCATGAAATGAACAAACTGCAATCCAACTTCTTTTCAACTATCGGCTTACACAACCGCAAAGCACTCTTTTTGTTGTGATGGCCTGAACAGATTTTCTGAGAAGAATGGCCTTGCTTTCCAAGATTGCTTCCAAATTTAACTTTAAACGAAGTCGCACATAACCTACAATAATCACTGACACTCGAATCAGACGACAACACTCTCCTTCCCGTAAACTAGCAGCTTGCATAATGTACACTACAGATGTGTTTATTTTTATTTTATCGAAGTGAAGAGAGCGGTGCAATAGTTCTTCAGTGTTGATTGGTCGGCTACTCATTTCCGGAACAGCGGTCAAGCGCGACTAATTAGGGGGTGTTTCTCATTTTCACAGTGTTTTCGTGCAGGCGTTTCCTCTTCTCTCTCCCCGCCCCCTAGCCCGCTCCTTTTGACTCGCCCAATTTTCTCCCCTCTTGTAGAGTTTCAACATGCGCTTTCACAAGCAAAACATTCGCGCGCCCGAAGAAAACGCCTGCACTGCAGGCTAGGTTAATACTCTCTCCCATATTTGTTGGCAAGATTTTGTAAAGAACTTGTCGATCACAAATAATTCGGCCTGAATGTGATCGAAGATGATTGGTATTTTGGGGTGTAAGATGTTTCACTCTTAAATCACTTAGCCTTTCCCTCAAATTAAGTCACATGAATGTGCCCTTATAATAAGTTAACTGGTTTGTGGATTACAGGTTTGTTTGATTTAAATTATAAATGTATTAATGAAAGCTTCAGTTCTAGACCTGGCTAAATCTATATATTAAGTAAGAGAAGCAAAAGAGAAGGCTGGGGATACGTCAGCTCTTTCGATTTTCCCTCGTTAATTTTCAGGAGAGATAAAAACAAACCACTAGGGATTAGTCAACTCTTTCAATTTTTCAATCTACTCTTGGTTTGATACCTGTTGAAAAGATATTTTAAGAACGATACCTGACTGGTCGTTTCGGATGACTTCATGTACTTAAGTACTGGTTTGAGTAATACACGAAGCGTAATAAGCACAAACAAGATGGTTAGCCACGGAAAATAGCATACAGCCTTAATTGTAGCCTGCGAACGGCAGACGTTTCTCCTCGCTCATGCCGCTGAGGGACGTTTCGCGAAACGTCCCTCAGCGGCGATGAACGAGGAGAAACGGCTGCCGTTCGCAGGCTACCTTAATTGCTGTTTTTTGTAAACTTGGTGCTCAAACCATGCAGCTTTAAGGGTTGCTAAGCGATATCTTGAGTCTGGATGGTAACCGAGATCACTCGTTCGTGTACTAGAAGAGTGACCTTTACAGCGTGAGTGCGAACTAAAAATTCATTGATAAAAATTTCGATGGCGCATGGGTGTCCTCTCTTATACCTAAGCTTCCCATGTCAGCAAGAGAGGGCGTCTGTTAACTTCATCAGAACTTACATGGGACTACGCGGACATTATACTCGAAGCGAAAGACTAAGAAAAAAACCTGTTTGTTAGGCTACATTGAATGCCCTTATTTTGTCAAGACAAAAATTGGCAAAAATCGCGTTTTGGTCTTTTTCACCAGAATTTATTTCGTATTTTTCTCAGATTAATGTAATTCTCAAAAGATTCTAACTTGTTTTTAAGTTTTACATTTATCTTCTTTTCTTTTTCAATTTAAGGGAACTTTCAAAGGAAGGCTTGAAGCCTACAACCAGGACCTCGTGATGTGGATGTGTTTTGAAGGAGAAGTCCAATTTCCCTGAAATTCCAAACAGAGGGCTTGATGTCAAAAGATCTGCCTTTTACTTAATTTTGTATGAACCTTTGTTTTTCGCAATCTAATAAAGACCCCATATTTGTAGTAATTTTTCACCTTTTGCGTGCCTGCCTTTGTAGTAAGAATGCGACTGTAAGCGTTGTTAAACCACGACATCCGTGATAAAACGTGATGTAAAAGAAATCAGAAATATATATACCACATGTACAGGGGCGTAGCGTGAGGGCTTGAAGGTGCACGCACGGAAACAAAGGCTGGACCTCCGAAGGTACTGGAAACTGAGGGGGTTATGCTCCCCCAGAAAATTTCTCAAATTTAAGGGCTCAGAAATGATTTCCTGCGTTTTCCTCAGGACATTTTCAGTAGGTAGATACGAAGGAAAATGCAACAGTTAGTTGTTAATTGAAAACAACAACGCCATCAAAGAGAGGTTACAAGCAAAGGGCGAGACGTACCCTTCAGACAGGCAAATACACCGATATAACGCGAAAGATTTATCAGTCATCCCGGTTTAATGACAAAAATGCTTTCAGGAAAAAAAATATATTTTTCCCAGATTTTAGCTGTACGCACGGGCGTAAGTGCGTAGTATAAAAACGATACGCTTCTGCACCACTAGAATCTTAGGTTATCAAAATGAAAGAGTAGACTGTGAACTGCTAAAATAATGCGCTGAATGCCTACAACGAAAAATGCTATCCCGCTCTTTTTTTAAATGTGTTTCTGAATGACTCGACCATTGTCGCAGCGGTGTAGAAAGGAGAAGAGATACGTTAATGGTTTTCCCTTCGGGAACTATAATCCCATAAAGTGTCCCTAAAAAACATAGCATCGACAGAAAACTCTTACCACTTTTTAGCACTGTAGTTGCCCTTTCTGAGAAGATATAAACCCTTAAGTCCGAGTACTTCTAACCATCGAATTTTTCAGCTGCAATGAAAACCGTTTGCTTGGGTAATTTATTAAAGCCCTCTGGGTTTTTATTTTACATTTGTCGGGGTACGCCTGGGTTATGTTTATGTCATTTACGATGACGGAAGTTCTTGGCCGTTTAAGAAGTGGATATTTCGGTCAGTCACGTTGTCAAACCCTTCGATTCAACGTTTTCCAGACGAGAGCGAGACCGGGAAGGACAAAGGAAACATACTTGGATTCATCATAAGCGGGCAGGTCGCCGATAGGCAGTTCGATTGGTTTGTGCCTGACAGGGTGAACGGACTCACACAAGCAGGACTCTCACGTTTGAATCAGTAAGTCGAGGCCTTCGTGTACTGCATTCTCGGGGCACAGGTTAATGTGCGCAGCAGCATTCTTGGTGATGGAGGCTGATCGATTGAAGCGCAGGGCGAGTTTCTCACATTACTGCGGAGGACGTTTTCAGGCAGCCAGACCTGGCCAAGCGCGTGCAGCGCTACCAGCTGGCTGTAGACAAGGCAAAGGTGAGACTTGATTTGGTAGCGTCGCCCGGAGCGTGGCTGATCCCCTCTCACATGGCGATTAATAAAGAGAGAACAGTTGCTTACAACAAAAATCTCAGCCAGGCAACTTACACCAAACATGAATCTCTGGTTGAACAATGACGTAAACAAAATGAGGTAACGCCTCATGGCGGCGGTCCTTCCCACTCCTCGCCACCCCCTCCAGCGACTACAAGTCAGGACATAATGACATAAACAAGGCGATGCTCGTTGTGGGTGCAGTTTTTTTGACGGGGCTTTAAATTTGGAAGCGTTTTGCATTAAAAAGGCGACCACAGCAAAATTCATTAGCCAGGTGTGCTTCGTCAGAAATGAGATGACCTGTCCTGCCGCTAGAGATGACCAAGTTGAAAATCTTTTTTTGATGGATTTGAATATTTATTTCTTTGCTAATAAGGAACCAAGAAGAGAGTCACCTTAGAAGGCTTATGGGTAAGAGCTGAGTTTCTTTACGATATTTACTTTATTTAATTGAAGTTAAGCTTTGTGGCCTAGAGTTGGCACCTGGCGCAGTTTTCATAAGTTCGGCTAGATATATATATCTGTCTGGATTTCCAAAAAGGTACCTCCATGAGTTTTTTTAGCAACGGTCTCATTTGAATTTCAGTACAAAGATCCCCTAACAAGCTGCAGTAGGTAAAAAAACATATGTTTATAATTCTGTTTTTATCTACCCCCCCGCTTGTCATAAAACACTATTACATTTGAAATCAGTGCGCGCGATAGAAGTTGTTTTAAGTGGTTGGTTAATTTTCTGGATTCTTTTCTGGCCGCCTTCAGCAAAGTTTTCCCGAAGGCATCATTAAGCCTTATGAAGGAATAAGTCTTACGATTGGCAAAGTCTGCGTCACGCCAATATGTTATCGTATTTCGTCTCATTTTGGCTAAACTGATCTCGGGCTTGAGACGGAAAGGCATCATATTGCGAGCTTTGATGTGGGCGGTGACGAGTCTCTAGCCTCAAAAAGTAGTTTGTAGGAGTCACATCTGTTCGTCGAGAGCAAAATTGATGCAGATTTCTGAGCAGGCCAGAGATTTAGTTAAAAATTGTTTTGAAGGCCGGCCTCTGTGTGTCCCTTTCAAAACGGCTCTTTTACATCCGGGATCTTGAATAAATCGACTGCGTCAGGAGAGTTTACATGTGATGAATTATCTGTAGAAAGGGAGAGTAATTTGATGATGTTTGGCCCGTATTAAGTGTGGAACCATTGTGCCTTGTTGGTGGTTGTGGACAGTTTTGTCAGCGCCGCGAACGTGGTTAATTGTGTGATTTCCCGAAGTTGTTGATCGACAGAATTCAGGTATGTCGTAGTGGTCGTGTTATAAGAATATTGTTTAAAAGCAAAAAAACGCTTCGTGATTGTTTAGTTGAATTGATTTTGTCCTAGACAACCGATTCTGGGCTCAAGAAAGTTGGATTCTAGGTCTGTTTTAGTCGGGCATCTCGCTATGAGCCTCATAGTTTGAGAGACTGAGGCCCAGTTCAGACGTCGTGCTTCTGCCGTGCCGAACTTAATTGTAATTTTTCGACTGTAACACGGCAGGAAAACAACTTTGATTCAGACGTCGTGCCAGAGTCGAACCAAATTCAGGATTTACTGATGCCTCGAAACAATTCTCCTCCTAACTCCCCGTGGGAACGCAATCTGGCCAAAATACATTAATATAATTTACGAATTTTGCTTAGCGCGGCAGAAGCACGACGTTTGAATCGCTGCCGTGCCAGGGCCGTGTAGCACGGCAGCGCTCGTCGAACCTAATTACTTGCCGAACTTAATTCCAAAGTTTGATTCAGACGCCGTGCTTCTGCCGTGCTTTTGTCGAACTTAATTCCTGAATTTAGTACGGCAAGGTAGAAGCACGACGTCTGAACTGGGCCTGAAGGGTCATAATTTCTGTGCTTTTAAGAGCGCCGGTCAGGAAAAATCGACCAAAATGTAATTTTGTGGCAAGAGTTGAAAAATCAGTTTCTTTCATTTTTTGTTCATAGATAGCTTTTAGGTAGATAAGGGCCCGGTTCAGACGCCGAACTTTTCATGAGCCGAAC